CTCTTCGCTAGCTTCCTTGAAGGCTTCTGACTTGATTTGGAAGGTTCCTTGCACTAGACAGTGAGTGGTGTGAACCTACATCTGCTCCTCTTCTTGACCTTGTGTTCAGTAGACTGCGTCTCCATTTCCTTCACATTGAGATGGAGTCGATCTGATTTTTAGTATGTCCATCTGGTGGAATCAAATGCATGTCGCTTTGTGGATATCCTTGTGCTTGAACACACTGCCTGGCCTCCAATCACCAAATTGTTGAATGCACAGAATTCTGCAAACAATTCTCCATTCTCTTTCATCACCTCACCGAGCGCTTCTCGACCCATGGTTTGTTCTCTTCCTATGTTGTCCCCTCCCAGTTTGGCATCATGTCGCCCATTAGAATTTTGATATCGCCAACTAAGGTCTCGTCCAGTGTTGATTTCAGCCGTCTGTAGAATTCCTCCTTTTCCTCTTGATCTGCATTATTTATAGGTGCATAGCATTGTATGATTGTGACTTTCCTTCCTTCCTTTTGAGTTGGACCTTGCTATCATGATGCCGATCGTTGAGGAGATTGGTTCCCACTGCATGAGAGTGGTCCATCAGTGTTGTTGGGGACATCATGATAGCCACTCCAAAACTCAGTGTGCTCATGATCGTCGTCTGGGTGACAATATCGGAGTAGATTATTGATTCTGCAGTTGACAGTTTGGAGAGTCCACTCCCATTCCATCTGCTTTCGCATATTCCAAGCAATTCAGTGTGATACCTCTTCATCTCGTTTGCAATCTGGGCTGCCTTGCTGGGTTCAAATATGGTGCGGACATTCCATGTCCCCACGTTTACTTTCGCTTTCACTGAGGGAGAGAAGACACATCAGTCCATTGGCTTCCCGAAGGGTAGGGTTGCTAGCCCTATGCCCAACCTTCCCTCTTTACCCGGGCTTAGGACCGGCTAGTAGCTAGTGAACTAGTTAAACAGGCGAGGTTATGTTAATCTTTATGACTGTCTAAATTTAGATTTATCCTTCGGAAGTCGACATAGTCTTCTCTTAGTCACATGTTCAACGTTACTAACTGATAATCATCCCAGTACAGAGTATAAGAAGATTCCGTTTGCATTCTGTAGTGTTTGTAGTGTAGTTTAGTGTTTTTAAAGGAAGCCAATGAAATTCCCCTACTCAGTACCACATAAAACAAATTACTGCATCATTATGGATCCCAGAATTATTTAACTATACACAGAAATGTCACTATCCAATTCCATATGACCATTAACTTGTTTGATTTCATTAATATTCTTAGATTGATGAATTTATGGCTCCATAATGAAAGTCAGTTGCATGTTTCAAAGACTAAGAAGCCAAAGTTTTTCTTCAATAAGTCATCCTAGAAGGTGTTGTCAAATACAATGAAAAGTTGTTCTTGATGAATCCGCAGCAGCTGATGAATAATTCATACGAAAATATTGCTTTATAAACTAGAGAAGCAACTAAAATAGGATAAAAATGAGCCATTTCATTTCAACGCAGGTTTTTAACGTTTGACACGATACCACTTAAGTGAAATAGATCCATTTTACACTGCTCCAGTCGTTGTTCTTGCTATTTTGAAGCTGATGAATATGCAAATAGACATAGTAATAGGTTAATAAGGATGCATTAATGGATAGCCAGCATAAGTTATTTGTAGACAGATAGAGTCAAATAATTCACCCACTCACTAGTGATCGTAGATGACTCGTAACAACTTGATCAGTGATATCACTGATCTTCTAGCTTTGTGGCAGATTTCTTATTTCATAGTGTAGTGATATCTGAATACATTGTAAATGTTCAACGTTATTTCCTGCGAAAATTGACGAGTACAGATTTAATTAAGTCCTTCGATTAGATTGTCTTCTTTGCAAACCTTCTGGTCATCCTAGAAATGACGTAGTGAAAGATATTCCAGCTCCTGTCTGTAACAATGGGATTTTAAAAACTCCATTGTTCCTTTCATTTGCATAGACACAGTTACTAATGATTATAAAACCAAACACAGTAGTAAGTGTATTGGTCCAGTGAGAAGCTGTTTACAACAGAACGGGAAGATGAAATGATCAAAAGAAGGAGGGTATTAAAATCACTAAAAGAAATATGAAGATGAAAAAGATAACTGAATAAAAAGTAGAAAAACATTGAAAATTTCAGAGATAAAGATGGGTAAATACATACGTTACAATCTAGACAAACCTAATCATTTATTGATAGCAAAGATACTGGAAGATAACATTTTAAAACTAATTTTAACCTTCAAATACCCTAGATCTATCGGTAATATTCGTTTAACATCTTGAGAGCGTTTTAAAAATCAAGGTCTTTGGCGTTTGCGAAAAACGGATTATCACTTTATGTCTGATGGGAGTTTAGTTTGAAAACATTCAATGAATGACTCCTGTTTTTTTTACATTTCGGGAAAAAAATTTGTTGGTAACAGAAATCTACGTTATCTTCCTGCAATAGCACGTTTCAATTAAAAGAATAAATCACAGAAATAGAGTTGGTAAACCTTAGTTCATGTAAGCACAAAATCACTTATTAGAACGCATGTCTGATGATCAACGTACCTCAAGTCAATAAGACGGACTACTTTCATTAGGCAGCGTCTGTACACGTCAGCTCCAAGCGAATTAGGTCAGTTGTTCGTTTCATAAGCCTTTACTGTTTGAACTGAAAGCTGCCTTCAACCATTAAAGTGAATTATTAATTTGTAGAGAAAGGATTTTATATTTTTCTGCAATTCTAGCTAAAGTCTTACACAAATACATTTGACCTGTTCAATAATTAATAATATGTCCTGATGACGGAGTAGTGCTTTACATATATACACTTTTACTTCACATTCACAAATCTTATTCAAAATTATATTTCCTGACGAGTGTAGCCTAGATAGTAGCAATTAGCAAAATCGTGAAGTTAATAGTTAGCCATTCATCACGTACACTGCTCGGCTTTCATCAAGCCGGTGAAATTGCAGTTTTGTTTTACACATAATTTGACATCCTCAAATGGCTGATAATGTTTATAAAACTGTTTAAGTATGCATAGAGCCCATTTAAAACACAGAAACTACATATAATTGGCACAAGATGTGATCATGTAAAGCAAACTCAATAACACATTGAGCTAACTTTTACCCTCATTTTTCTTACTACAATTAACAAAGTCAAATATGAATATTGTACTAAATCCATAAGCTCAGTTTTCCATATGAATATATATCGATTGGAATAACTCACTCTGCTAGAATCTTCAGGTGTGCAAATTTTCCACAGATCATGAGGTTGAGGAATTATCGATTAGTGTTTTCGCTTCCTCTTATAGTTAGATAGAAGGAAATTGACGAAAGCAGGAATAATAATCAGAGTACTATAAATAGTACATGTTGCTGTAATCAATTACGAGCACGGTAACACTTACTTCAGAGGCTCTAGTTTAGTTCAGATTTGCAAGTGATAATTTCATGCACTGGTGTTAGCTTTTAGTCCAAGCCACCTTCATTTGTTTACTAACGTAATCCTGCTTCAGATAGTACCACAATTTAGCTGATAAGAATCCACTAATTTCTTACTTCTTTTATATCTTGCTGCTCATAACTCAACATCTCTACATTTCTTGCTCAATAATTCCATCGCACATTAGTAGTGCTATGAAGATATATACTGCTGAATACCTAGAATATACTCATCTTACCGAAGAAAGTATTCAATAAATGTGTTGTTCATCCTGGCTAATTTATTCATGTAATACTGTCACCGTTGTCAAACCTAGTTGATGAAATATCTCTGACTTTCTACCACATCACTGTGTACGGAAATTTGCCATACAAATAAACCTTAGTGATAGCCAATCACTTTCAAGTACGTACTGACCAATCAGAATAAAGAATATGAAGGACGAAGTAATTCAGAAAAATGCCAACTGATTTACAATTTATGCGTCTGTTTGGCTTCGGAAATAAAGATATCTAGATATAAAATAGGTTTGTCATCTCTGAAACCATACTATTGTCTGCACAGCCACCAATCCGTATGAGACAATATCTTTTCAATGATATTGAGGGAATTCCCCATCGTATTCCCGTTAAAAGTCTTAAAAAACTTTCTAAGACGACTCAACATATTTTCACAGTTGCTTGTATACACTTCAGCTGACCAGTCGACGAAGTGGTCTTTATGAGCAGTAGCTTGATGGGGATGATCTGTTTTAGACAAAGGCACATATAACTTTCAAGCATCTATATATACTGTAGTACTCAGTGACACGCATTTTCGCATAACTGCTAGGATAAATATTTCTGATCTATCCTTTATCAAATGAAAATGTCGTATATGCCAAGAATCTGTTATTTTTCAAGACATGTATGTATACAGACGATAGGTAGGTTATAACTTACCCAATCCTGTTTAAATCATCTTCCTAGGTTATATTTAAGTTTCCGAACAAGACATTAAACTATTTCAACCACACTACCTACTCCACTAGATTTCATATACAACCTGCAACGTCATCTCCATCATAATTCATCGAACGTTTATACAGCGTCAACAATACAGTACACGGACGTAACGAAATAACTGAATAAATCATCTTCAACTTGATTAGTTGTCCTCAAGGTTTCCCATCAATAAGTTTTAGTTCTACCGAATTTTCTTTATTTAACTGATTTAAATTAAATACTGTAACATGAACACTGTGCAAATTGATTTTTATTATTCAATAAACGTGTTATTTCTGATTAAAGCTTAAGTAAGATTTATATAAGTGAAAAACTTGGGCACTGTGGTAGAATGCAATTCCATATTAGATTGTTTATCTACTCAGTTAAGATGGCAGTTTAACAGTTTTCAAAACGAACTCATTAAATTATGTTAAAAATTGTTTATCGAATAAGATTTTGAAATATAAAAAGAAATAGGACTCAAAGAGCAAACTTTCTTTGTTCATTTACTAATTTATATTAAAACACTATTTTCATGCATCTTCATCCACTATTTTCAATTTGTTTTCTTATCCATTCACAATCTTCATAATATCGAATATCTCCAAGTCGATAAATGGTTCTTTTATAGAAAAAGTAGTATAATACTGACCCTTTATTAAAAAATAAATTTCAAAAAATGGAATACGAAAAAATTTAATTTTGATCTAACTAAATCATACATTCTTGATTCAATTTTTAATAGAGATAAATAGTTTTTGATTAATTGGATGAGTTCAATAAATGTTTTCAATTGTTTGTATAACAATAACATCAGAAAACACTTGTCATCTTCAAATGTGGAATTAATGAAAGTTCGTAGAGTATGGAGCCGAGAACCCAGTGGCCACTGGTTCGAATCCGGCCGCGGTTCAAATTATCATCTCACCTTCAATCATCACCCAGTATAAATATTAGTCTGGCAAACTACGGCTATCTTAGATAGTCAAATGATAATTAACTCTTCACCATCAACATGCTTAAAACACTTTAAAAGTATAAACCAAACGTTTACTGTGAAATTGAACTCCTAACCTCTAAGCATTACCGTTACAGACTTAGGTTTAAAAGGCCATTAGTTGTATTACAACTGACTGAAGTACTTAATATAAACTATGAAAACTGCAGACTTGAAGAAGACAAATTTTGAAAAGTTCTCCATTAATGAGAAGTGCCTCATTAAGACTAAACAATGGGTTAATATTCCTTTGTTTTAATTAATGGTTCTAAAAACATATCAGAAATCCCTTTAAATCAGCAGTTATTTTCTAATAGTACACAAGAGATACAATTTTGATAAATGTTTTGAACATTAATAATCAGTAAAAAAAAACACTAAAACTGCGGTTTGCACAAAGATGATTTCATTTGGAGCCAATATTTTCATAAGTGTGTTTCCCAGAGATTTATACCTGCTAAACTAATATCATCTAGCATTTCCACAAGACATGGTTTATATTTAGATGGAGGTAATTGAAGGCTGTATTTATCTAGGTGACTAACAGTGGACTCCAGAACTCGCGTTTCATCCTATTATGGACTTGTCAGCTGAATGTACTTGCACCCCAGTGAGTGATGTTGCTCCAACTGATACTCAAACCGGGGACCGATCACTGCAAACGTCAGAACATTACCCACTAGGCTACCAAGTCATGATAGCCATTCCTTGTGTGACATGTATAATTTTCATGTTTGTCACTTGTATTATCCCATCGCTGATTAAATGCTAATAGAGACCAGTTAATCCGGTCCAATCAACGATGGCCTAGTGGATGACTCTTTGACGTTTGAATTGATCGGTCCCAAGTCTGAGTTTCAGTCGGGACGACAGCACTCACTGGGATGCAAGTACATTCAGCAGACAGATCCCAAATAGGACAAAGCGCAAGTCCTGGATTCCACTGCTAGCCAATATCTATCATTAATTCGTCTACTATGCCTACAAACAGTAGACTTCCATCATTTGCCACTAGTAGAATGAAATAATCCACAAGTATAATCACTGATATGGCCGCTTAAAGAATTCCGCCTGAAATTTAACCACATATAATAAACTTTTTTAAATATGTTTATGTAATTCAGATAATCAGGCTACAACAGTTGAGGAAGGGACTAACTGTTAACAACTATCATTCTTCAGAGAGTTTTTCCGCATTCAAAAATAAGTGTTCAGATAGACAGGTTTCAGATGCTTATATTAATCTAGGTAGGACAAATATTGACGTATGACAAGTAATGTTGATAGTTGAAATTCGATTACACGGATATATTGATATCTGCATCAACAGCAAATTGACATAAGAACTGCACAAGGTTTCAAACTGATCAGCAGAATTCAGTCAGCACTCAGAACTAGACAGCATAAAGCTGGTTGCCCTCCGATGACTAACCAATGTATTTTATCCATTCAAATCAACATGGGACTAGACATTACTGTTTAACGGTCCGAGTTGCCAAAGACTTCATACACTGATGCCGTGTTTTAGTCTGGTCGCCTCAAGCCTTTTTCCAGCCTGAACCTACTTCTCACAACACTGTGTGACGAGGCAGACGGCAACTAGGTATACGTAACACATATCCCAACCATCCCAGTCGATGAAGGTTAACAACCGTATCAGCTGACTTACCTCTTCTCCCTAAAACTCTACGCCTGACTTCTGTGTTACTCATGTGATGCATGACTATTTATTATATCGACACTTTTCCTAAGAAAATGAAGTGCTGAAATCAGATAGATGTTTCTACATAATGATTGGATACGTTTGTTTAAGAAGTGAAAGACCACGAGTAACTTGCCTTAAAATGAAGAGTTGCCAACACGTAATCTAAACAAACTAACGACAAATTATCCAGTCTCCTTCGATGTTTTCCTTAGCTGAGTACTTTTTCAGAAGTTGAATGGCTTCCGTTGTAAAATATTGTTATGGGTATGGATATTAACCTGTGAGGTTTTTGACCACTGGTTTGGACAAGAAATGGAAGTACAAATCCCTCCGCTATTGGTCTTCAAGTATTGTAAGCAAATGCATAGAAGTCTTAAGAATATGCTACTCCGAAACCATTATAGTGGAGTTCGTCTATACACTCTTTGCCTTTATTGAAAACTTCAGAACATATAAATTTCATATATTTCATTTGTTTATTCCAGAACTTCCTATTTTTAATCTTCCTCTTCTACTGAGTTTCACATTGTTTCATGCTATTATCATGTGTCGAACTAGTGAACCATTTTGAGGGTTCCACATCTTTGTGTACCTATCTGGTAGTAAACAAAGAGTTCTAAAGTATATCAAGTTTTAATTGGAATTAAGATCACCTATTTGCTTATCATCGCGAATTCCCATAGTACTTGGGTGTTTATCCTCATGACAATAATGATTCCCATGCTTCAGAATATTATTACTGATACTTTATGACGATAATTTGATTAACGGTCTAAGTTGAGGTTTACTTGCTGAAAACTATTAGGAAAACTTGAGCAGTTTTGAGTTAATTGGGTTCAATACACTTAAATCAAAAGTCATAAATATTAAAGTGCCATTCAAAATAATAAAAATGTTGAGGTTTTTACCGCAATCCACATTTCAAAGTGTAGTGATATCCAGATAACTAGAGTATTAAATGATAAATTGTAGAATCTCAGAATGAATAACCTTACAATTTCTGTTTAGTGTCTTAAAGCATCTTCATCATTACAGCTGTAGATTTATTCTAAAACTTCCACCCTAATTTTCCGTAATTACATACTTTATGGGTCATGGGTCCGCACTAGTGAGGAATTTCACACTAAGACGAAAAAGCTATCCAGTGCTTCCGGGTTTCGAATGCTTCGCCAACCGATATGGGTCCATGATGAACACCAACATATTTTATTGTTTGTAGATCACCTATGATGCTTCTGATGCATACAAAGTAAACTTTTCTCCCCACAGTTGCACGAATCATATATTAGTAAAAGCTCGTTTAAAAGACTAGAGAGGTAAAACATTTAAAACAGTAAAAACAGAAATTTAACGTCTTTATTTCCTTAATCATAAATTAAGTAAACGTTTCTATGCACTAATATCAGAAGATGAATGTTATTTGACTAAAGCAATCTTCTCAAGAACTCCAAAGTTGGTTTTGGGTTCATTTTATTACTGTTTTAAACTATCTTTGAAAACTCTTTTATAGGGTACAGAAAGTCTTTAAATGCAGTGAGAAACTCCAATTATATGTGATTTTCTGTGCAGTTTACCTACATGCATTTAGCTTGAAGTATTATTATGATTTCCTAAATGTTTCGTTGGATTACAAGGATTCAATGGAATCTTTCATTTGTAATTTTGATGCTGTAGAAACCAAAGCTCAAAAGTTAGTAGGCATCAAGTCCTTCTGAATATTCTTCCTAGAATCAATCAGTTTCTACTTGTTTAATTTAGAGAAGAATATTAAATATTTCTGTATAAAACATAATATGATGCAGTTACTCAACATGTGTTTAAAGAACCAAGTCGTGATTTTTAGTATTAGTAAGAAGATAAAACTGCTGGAAAGCGTAAAACTGTGAGTCCACTTGTGGAATAACTATTGAGATAAACGAATACATATTATAAGAGTCGTGGATGAATATTTAATGTGAAGAACTTGGTAATATGAGAAAGCATTTCAAAAAGGCAATGGGTTATCAAAAAATAAAATATATTTGTTTGGATTTTATAAAATGTATTGAAATGCCTTAACAGTTTGGGAAATTTGTGAATGATCTGAAAAAAGCATCTCTTCATCGAGCAAGTAAATACACAGTCTAACTACATTATATTTTAGTTTTAATGTCACTGTTGAGTTTAGTAGGGTTATGGTTGATAAAATGTTTTAAAGTTTCGTGTTGCAGACATGGTGCTGTAAAATCTCCCATAGATTATGCGGGGTAAAATAGCCTTTAATTCTTTTTATACTGTGAATGTTTGCTGCATTCACAACTATATCGTAATCTTTGCTCAACAAATCAAAGCGAAAATGATTTTAAAGGTCTACGTTGACCATCAAATCAGAAATAGTCTCGTTACTTACCGAATGTTTTGAGTGTTAACGTTCGCCCTGTGATCTTATTCGGAACTAGGAATAAATTCATAACTTTCTATTTAACTTACGGCTTCAAGAAGATAAGTCAAGATGAGTAACTGAAGCAAGGGATCAAATATATGTAAATTCCATTCAGTGTGCCTAAAACATTTTCGCTGGGGCCTCTACGCAGGAACGTTCTGTAGAGACTACTTCAACAGTAGAAGCACTGACATCTAGCAGAATAAACTCTGTTAATTACAACCCCAATGATATACTTCGGACATTCAGTACTCTCGATGTAGAAAATTAAAAATAATAAATAAGAATGATGATAACCACTTTATTTCGAATAGTGTTTTGGTAGGATTAGGTATTTTCAGCAAGTAATATTGCATTGCATTGCAAAGTGTTAATACAACAATTTATGAAAATAATAATAAAAAAGTTTTACATTTTCAGTTAAACAATCGGTCAGAGATTATTTATTACTGCAAATTTGATAAGTGGGTTCTGTAACTTCCAACAAGACCGGATAAACTGTACCTAAGGCTGCTCAAACAGCTTGCAT